GCTTCCAGGTGGGTGAAAGGGTACTTTTCTAATCGTATCAAGGTAATAGGAAGTGTGAACCAGGTGTCATAGAACGTCGGATCGGAAATGTACTGTACCTAGTCTGGAGAAATGTCGAAACGTGTATAATACATATGAATCAAATTCGAAGGGACGACAGATCATTGGTCCCACAAAGCCGACTCCCATCTCAATTGCTTGTGGATTCATCTCGAAAAACTCCTCAGGACCGCGAATGTAGAAAAGAAAAAAGACGCAAGGGCAAAGCTGTACAACCTTTGAGAGTGATGGACCGCAAGAGGAACACGGGAACCAAGATTCAGGTGGATCCGAACAAAATGTCTTACACAACAGACTTAAAAGAGGGGAGGTGTGAGGACGATCCACGAGTGAACTCGAAGAAGCTTTAAAAAGCTTTTGGAAGAATATCCTAGAATCTCTACATGTAGCTCCCCGATTGGACAGTGCTAATAACCTCCTGTGTGCGGATTGGGTAGCTATAACGATGATTTTGTTTTTACTAAAAACTACTCTAATTTGACACTGTTTGGAATAACATTTTTTCACTAGTCTTCTGTTTTCTCATTGTGACTTGGAAAGGTTCTAGAGTTCAAGTACTCAAGTTATACGCGTCATATCAAGAATATAAGCTTTCGATTCACAAGTTATAACAATTGGCGACGGGGATTTCGAAAAACATTAACAAGTTATAACACGTTCTTTATCACGGAATAATCTTAACTGAGAAACTGTCATAAATCAAAGAACAGTGGATAGCTGGTTCATCTTAAAAGCGAAATTCTCATCAGTGTGCATCCACAACCCCACTGGGATTTAAATCCCTGCCTTGAGACATCGAGTCTGATGGTTCTGAGTTCGATTATTCACACATTCAAATTTAGTCAGTTGGCGATATGATGCTAATTTTGCAGACGATTACTTTATATCTGACACAACTCAGTTTCACCAGTCACGACTCCTTTGCATTGAGTGAACTTGAAAATCCGTACTTCTGGATGCTAACATATCAGTCAATTAGTTAAGCTGTAGAAGCGTGGTCAGTGGGTCTTGGATTTGATCACCGGTTGTAGTATGGGTACCCACCATTGAGAGGCCCCATACTAAATTGGAACAACTCTTCAATTCTCCTTGGTATCAATATTATAACACCTAAGGTAAATCTGTGAAAAAAAGGCGTGCAAATAATGTATTCATTGAAATGGCTTCATTTATTGACAGTTTTGATTAAAGGTTGACATTTCGTGGCATAAATATACTATGGATGGTAAAAATGATGGTCAGTAATGTTAAACAAAAAGGAAAAAGCTTTACGTTTTTAAAAGAAATTACGGTTGATACATAGTAATGCGCAATGCTGACTAGTAGTTAAGAATGGTTGGAAGAAAGCTAGGTGCGACCAAACTAAAACGTGACATCAGTGTTTGAAGTCACTAACTTTTAGTCTTAGCCATTTTGGTAGATGCAAACTATTTGGTTGTGGTCCTCTTGACTATCGTGACCAATGGTTGCAGAGTGTGGGTGACATGGCTCAGAATCGATCACAATGATGTAGGTGTATACACTGTCTATCTTCCCTTAAACTATGAGATTAAAATTGCATTACATCTTTCTTTCTACCAACTAATAGTTTCTTTCTGTACTTTATATATTACACCATAGGGTTAACTACTTCTATGAATTCGATGTTCGTCTTGGTGTGCTAATGAGGTGTGGCAACTTGGACCGATGCATGTATGTGCCTGGTCTTACGTTGTAACTAACTGATTGACTGACATTGTAATTTATTTTCAAGACTAATTTACTTAATGTTTTTAAAGAGAAAACCAGTAAATGATCAGTTTAATCAAACCATTTAGCTCAGAGATTAAAACTCCATCAAAATCTCAGACACTGTAAATGAACTGATTTCCATATGTGTTACATCATAGAAAGTTGAAATTTATAAAAGTCAACATGAGAACAAAATTCGCAACTGACATAAATCAGTATAACTAATGGGATGAATTTTATCTTCTATTCATAGTTTTACTTCATATTGTTTAAACATTTTAGCTGTTAGTAGTAGTATTCAATCGTTTTTAGTGTATTAGATCACAGCTAGGATTATATATAGACATTTATATGCATACGTTTATTAATTTCTTTATTTTAAATTTAATCTTTACAGGAATCTTCATCTCATTTAAACTTGACTTTATTATCCGTTGTATTATTTATCTATTAGATCTCGTGGAGCTTGTGACCTATTAATGTATAACGTAATGATATTGGCAGTTAAAGAATAGTGACTTATCAATCGGACCAAAGAGGCATAAACCCGTACAAGCAGTCTAGAATCCTTATCGGTCCTTCTTCCTGCCTAGCCCTGACTGCCTGTTCAGTCCAGAACACTAATCTCAGCCTCCGCGATATGAATCATGTATTTCATACATACTGGGTTTATATACCAACCAAATAGACGAAATCGTGCCATAAAATAGAAAATAACATTTCTACAAGATTTAGACAAATGTGGCTGTGAATGTGGTAGACTGTAGTTAATAGACTGAGTATAACTCAAGATAGGTAAACGGTATAATAATAGTTCATAGGTCAAAATAAAGCTCATGATAAGAGGGACATGAATATGTATAGTTTAGTTACTTAACAATTACACAGTTAGAAAATATGTATAGTAATATTCCAGACATAGATTCCAACAGTTATCATTCATTATTTTCATCAGGATATAACTATCTCTTAATCACAATGTATATCATCTGTAGAATGACTGATAGTTATTATTTGAGAGTGGATTTTAGTTAAATATTATATTACTTGATAAAATGTTATCACAAATTTGTTAGATAAATCTTGTATTCTGTGGATGCTAGTCTGGATGACACGAAATTGTGGAGCGATTCGTTTAATCTTAAATAGTTCCTGACTTTTATCCTGATTGACGTTTGAATCCCTTAGTCAACATGATATCGATTACGACTTAAAGTTTATATCACAGGCTGAAATTACTTAAACAACCATTGAAAACCAGTAAGCACGAGACAACTGTTCCGTCCTAACATGGCGATCCTCAACAGGCTAACCTTCTCAAACATTCAGGCGTCTAACATATGTCGAGGGTGGGAAAGTCGCCCAACACTGACAATGACTCGATTTAGTTAATAGGTTTAAACAAGATATGTAAACGATTAGATGCTGTCCTAGTGGTCTTAACACCACTGCTTAGGAATCCCAGAATAGGACAATTCAGTTGTCTAACGCTTCCTGGTTTCTAATGATGGTGTAACTTGGGTCGGTTCGTGTTGTGAACCATAAAATTCGGAGATCCCTACAAACTTCATACATTAATGATTAAGTGTTAACACCACAGTACAACAAGAATAGTTCACCAGTATCATTTCTCTAAAAAAGTATTTTAACTGTGTAAAAAGTGGTATGGTTATTTGTTTTGAGTGAGAAAAGGTTGCTGCCTGTTACTTTTCGTACATGAACAATTACTGATACGGATGAACTCAAGGAAGAGAGTTAAAATGCCGTTCAATATTTCAATATGTATCAACAATATGAGTGAAACTGTATTAATACACTCCATTATATATCTGATTTAGTTATATAATCAATGATCATCTTTGGATACACCAAACTGAGCACTGCTTGACATTAACTAATCAATAGCATAATGTTTATGTGCAATTTATTATAATAATAGGTTAAACTGCTTTAAATAACAAGTATCCGTAAACTACCGATACTGATATTTACTTCTTTTTAACTCTGTAACATTAGGTGATGTGGGTTCGAACGTGAGTGTGGAGAGCTACAGTTTCTTCAATAGTATATATTCAATTTGTTGGTCAGTGTTAACTAACACAATACCTTAGTTAAACTGCCTAAGTGCACCACTTTTTAACGTATTCTATCTTCTACCACGTTCTTAGCGCTTTATAATAGGTTTGGTAAAAATGTCATTATCTTTAATTGAAATCGTCACTTTGTCATAATTTATTTGAATATAACTACAAAAATTAATAGCTTATCACTTACTAAAAGAATCTTTATCATAATAAAAGAGTATCAGCTTAATTCTTTCAATTACAAACAAACTTTTAGTCATAGCAATATGTACTACTTAATGGTTGACATCGGAATTACTACCATTCAATAAATAGTTCTATGATTTTTGAAGTAAAAAGTAAGACCAATCGTGTTAACAGCAGTCTACCTAATTCTGTCAGACTGAGAATCTTGCAGACGACTGAAGCAATCGTTATTGGGATCAAAAATCTGAAACTTTACATCTAAAACGTTTTGGATTTAATTTTTGGTAGAATTACGACAGTTTTCATCTTCAACTTTTCATATATCTTATCAAAGATTAATTTATATCATTATAGGGATTCTCATATGAAAATAATGAAACATGGATAAAATCTCCTTTTTTTCTGACTATTAAGCACTATGACTTCGAGTTAATCAGTAAACGTTAACAAGCTTAAAAAGCTTGTGACTTGAGGCTACATCGAGGCAATCCGCACAGGATGCACATATGTCAACACGAGACTGATCAATCAAAGTCCTAAATAACAATGAGAAGATACAAGTAAAACAACACCAGGTGAATTTAAACTTCACCCCTTTGCACAAGCAGGTCGCTATCACGACTCAGTAGGTAAGTGGATAACGAGATGGCGTTTGAAGCGAACGGTGCTGGGTTCGATGTCTGGAGTAAACATCAACTCTGGGATGCAGGTACATCCATGTGACGAGTCCCAAATAGGACGAAACGCGAGTCCTGGATTCCACTGTTAGCCACTAATCATCATTGCTTACAAAAAGCTTGTGACTTAAGGTTATATCGAGGCAATCCACACAGGATGCACATGTGCCAACATGAGGCTGATCAATTACAGTCCTAAATAACAGTAGGAAGATACAAGTAAAATAATACCTAGTGAATTTAAAACTATTTTTTAACTTACTGCTAATGAATGAAACATTGAATTTGGTAATTTAATTTCGGTACTTCGTAAAATATCATGCATGATAACACTACCAAGTGAATGTGCAAGTACAGAGATTTGACCACCTTTTTGAAGAAATTGTGGATTTTTTGAACAAAATAAATTAAATAATCTAGTTAATTCATAACTTAAACTTTGCATAATATCATGACGATATACAGGACTTGTATAATATAAAATATCAACAAAACTTTGATTTATATAATCACGTAATGGCCGTAATTGTGCTATAGTTACATTATCTAAAGTTTTTGAATTCAATGATAATGAACTACGCCAATTCACTGGAATAAATTCAAGTCGTTGTCCAGTTTCAGATAATTTAGGATAAAGTTTTTCAGCTACTTTTTGACATGTTTTCCTTATTCTAGATGAGAAAAAAAAGTAAATGAAAGAACATATATACAAATATATAGTGAGGTATTCTTGTAGTAAGTGTATTAAACATATATGTATTTAAATGAATATTGATGTGAACAGAGAAACAAGAAGCCTTGAAGCTATTTTGTCGGGAACGTTATTTCATTTCATTCAAAGCTTGTAAAACATTAACATTTATTTTTGTCCCTAGTCTATTCTACAAATCATAAGCTTTCGTTTAATGTATGATTCATTGTCATAGCCTTTTTTTGTTCCATAGCTATTGTCGTTTAAACGTAATATGTTGTACTCTATTTTCTGCATTAATCTTCAGTTTTCGACATAACTGTATTTTCCTAATTGTTATGCGTTGTGGTCTGGTTGGTGTTCTATTTATTCATGTATCTTTTTACGCTGATCTGAAATCGGGAACCAGATTGGAATTGAGAATAAATGAAGTAGTGTTCCAGTTGACTTGTCTCTACTCACTCGTGAGCTTATCAATCAATCAGGTGATAAAATAGTTTTTGTCTCTCTACCTTAAGCGGTTGGTTTCAATTCGAACTCAGGCATACTAGCATCAAGTTTAATCCAGTCAGCCTATCATGTCAAGGTTTTGATCTAGATTAGACAAGTTATTCTCTGCACAAAAGTAGGTAAACAGGTCAAGGACGTAATAAATATATGAGTAAGAATAGGCATAATTAGAAGGGTGAATAACAGGTTATATTTCATAAATACTTTTTTCTCTATAAAGGGTATGTGGAGCTTGTTAAATATCATAGTTTACAATACATACTGATTTTATTAAGATAATCATTGAAAACCTATAAGCACTCACTATGTGAACAATAATAATGTGTCCACCACCAACTAATTTCAGGTGTTAATTCACCGAATTCTAGTAAGAAACCGTGATCAGTGAAGCTTAACCACGTCAAGTTTGGGCCGGTTACTCAATAATGGGAATAGAAAGTGGTTACAAAATATGGTGAATCGATCAATGTAAATGCTGTGCAATGAATATCGGATAAAGCATCTAACAGTTAAGTGCAAGTCAAAAATCTTGTAGGTCCTGAATTTGGTCATCATAAGGGTTGATAACCTGCACTGTCTAGTCCCATAGTAGAATAAGACAGCTATCCAGTACTTCTCAATTTTTAGTCAATTTTCAACTGGAGCAAGTTAGTGGTGTAAAGCACATAAATTACCAAACAAAAGTTAAATCGACTACGTTAAACAACTAGCAATTAGACTCTATGTATCAAATTATCGAATCTGATAGCTAATAAATTTTGGCACGTGAAGTGACAAAAAATATTTGAAAAATGAAAAACGTACTTGGCACATTCATGGCGTATACTAGCTAACTGTTGACCGATACCATGGACAACAAAGCATACATGAGTAATAGGGGGAGGTCTATCACTAGTTTCCGCTGGACGATTAAATCCTCTGCTAATAGGAACACTACCTTTAAGGTAAGAGTATTCGGTTTAAAAAAGTTTTAATGAAGTACTCACTTAATCCTCCGTGTAATCTAACTTTACCAAAAGGCTCTGCACTTTTAGTAACTAAATAGATAGTACCATCAGGCATCCATTTTATTTCATAATTGTTTGACTGATATTTATGAACAGCTGAAATAAATGTGACAACAGAATTATGGGCCAATCATTACTTACGTTTATGACTTTTGCCTGTAACTCCTTTCAATTTAGGTATAGCGTACGTACGATGTTCATATTCAATTACTTCAGATAACTTTGTATCCAAGGGTAACCAATTGATCTTCTGAAACCAAACAGCACGCACCACTCTGGTTGAACACCAAGTTTTTCTTCTACTATGTACAGATCGTTTTTTGCCAAACCAGTATATAGGAATGCATTGGCAACTTTCCATGTCTACTTCGAACATCTCTCCACGAACAGTAATCTTATCGTAAACTGGGTCCGTGCTGCCGTTATAACGCTCTCGATAAGCTGTTTCAAGACGTATTGAATCATATCCACAAAATGGTTTCCATGTGCTTACTCCGCCAGAACGACGGAAATACAACCAACGGACAGCTTCGATAGGAACTTCATCATCAAGCAGAAAAATGCTCATATTTGACTAGGGTGTTCACATTAAGAACCTATTTTTTAGATGAAATATTGAAAAGGAATAATCATCAGTTCCAGAGGATATGAAGTCACATTTGTAATATTCAGCAAATTTCGTATTGAGTACAAATGAAGCATTTACCTTCGTATATTATTCGTTGTACTGATGAAATAACGTCAAACGCACATAGGTGAAGTAGCCATGTATCACTATAAATGTTATCGTAAAATATACTTATTTTTCTATTGTTTATTATATCGGCATTAAACGAAAATTTCCTCATACATTTTGTAACTAGGTTTCACTGAATTTATGACGTTTCAAATATACTGACTAATAACAAACTAATCCTTCTTAGGTTAATGTTAGAAGTCGAAATGAAATTGTCATTGTAATAAACCATGCATGTTAAAAATAAGCTTTTGATTAATCAAATGCTCGATACATTGTAAAAGGTATCAATAAAGCTTCACGACACTGTCTGATATCTCTCTCAGTAATGAAAACCAGGTTTTAATCTAACTTCAGTGATAATATCGCATTAGTAATGGGTTGATCCAGTAATTCGTGTTCGAGGACAGTGATAAATATTAGCAAGTTACTAAAAATGAAGTCATTATCATAATTATCACTGATATCATCATCTTGAAACACCGGCTTCAGTTCTTTGGCCATGTGTTAAAAATATCATTTCAGCAACTACCATATTGTGCTTCATTTCCCAAACTGTGCACCTAAAAAAGTGTAAGCGTTATCTGTTTGGATTTAATCTCAAGATAAATTATCTCAGTGTGAAAACTAAGGTCTTTGAATGCCTTTATGTTTTCGCTCTTTAATGAATCTTTTTTTGTCCTTTTAAAAGCGTATTGTTACACACAAAAGATCAAGTTGTGCTGATGCACGGCTTATAAAATTGAGAAAAAGTATGATTTTTTTATCAGAATTCAGACACTTAAGCTTCTAGCGTCAGGCATATCAACTAGTAAATATCGGATTTTATCATCTGGAATATTTAGAAGTTTATGATTTCAAGAAAATGAGTTGTTTAAAAAGAGTATGAAAAGTGTTTTGGTCATTTTTTTTAATTATTTTATTTCAACACATAGATATTGGTACAAAGAGGCACCAAATACATATGCGCCACACAAATCTCATTCCATATGTGTGGGGGCTGTGATACTGCCCGGGTGCCCAAACCGAAGCAGGTGGTTTTCTTAGGGGGCCACTCCCCGAGCCTTCGACCTGAGGGTCTGATCCACAAGGCAGTGGAGCATCGTAAGGAGATGCAGTCCCATGGAAGCCGGTGACCAACAATTGGTTCATACGCCATTTGTTCCCGCAGGATACTGGAGCCCATGTGCACCTTTGGTTTGGGATCCGGTTAAAGCGCCAGACATTCGCTTTTCGTCCTCTCATTTTCGTAAACAACAGTAGTGCCACGAGAAGGCAGTGAATAGGACTTCCCTGGCAGAGGCTATATACGCGAGGCTGTGTGAGAGCATTTCGAGAGAGAGGACTCTCCCAACTCTCGGCCGTACCAGGGTATTTGGTCATAGATATACTTAGTTTGCTGAAAACGTGCTGAGTCGAATATAGTATTAAGATACAGACGTTTTCCAGTTTTTTTTTAAAAAATGTAATGATTTTAATTTACAATCTTTACATTTATAAAACCAGTGGAAGGGTTAGATACATTTTGACTGGCGTGGAGATGGTTAGAAAATCTTATTTTGTGAACGATTTTTCTAATCGTTTTAGTTTAGCTACATCGGTGGATCATTTATTGCTAATTGCAGAACACCTTACTGTAGTTGTATTGTTTATTTTCGCAGGTATCTACCGGTCGACTGATTGTTGCTCAAAATGTACCGTGCTTTTGAACTCATTCACCGTTTTTAACTACCATTATGACTTTCCATTATGTCACAACTAACACGATCGTTGAATTTATACAGTTAGACGCATTGACCTTTATTCTATCTATGTGTATTTTGAACATCAATGCAAAATAAATAAACTGATAATTATATTTCTGGAATGATTGTATTTTCGCAGTATAAGTTAATTCAAAGACTTTCATATTATTATTTACTGTAACGATCCTCTATTTACCCAAATTTTAACTTTTAATACAGTTATTGTATTTACTTATCCATATTTCTCCTTCGATTCGGTTCGGTCTATTACAGTGGTTAATATTGAGATGCACAATGAAACTAGATACGCAGAATTCTATAGCTTTAGTCTCTTTAAAGAACTTGCTTTACATTCATCGAAACGACGCTCACTGTTTTCGGAATTTTAAAAATCCAAAAATTATCTACGGTAAACCTTGAAAATTAAAACATGCATCAGATTTCGTGGTAGCGAAATAAAAAAAACACGCTCAATCGAAACAATTTTGTACACTGAAAAACTAGAAATACTACCTTTTGTATTATAGTAATAACAAGCTACATTCCACAAATCTTCACTGCTGTATGAATGATAGGATATATATCATAAAACGGTACTACTAAGTCTTGTGAAAATATCTTTGCATCCACTAATGTAACACTAAGACACATAAGTATGAAATATTTTTAATCACTTACAAGAACTTTCTAAAGAACGCCGAATCAGTAACTAGCTGTAATTTTAGCTGAAGCGTTTGTAGTGGCACTGGGCCTTAATAACACAATCCTCAAAGCTGAACAGGAACATAGATGTTCAACATTTAACACGGAGAGAAAACTCAACGATGGAGAAAGCTGGAACAAGGAATTGGATTATTTCGAGTTAATCGGGTAGCATGGCTTGGTCTTGCAGGCGTGGTCCATGTTGAATGTTACCTTATATCTTTTACTCATATTAAATATAATTTTCTATCACCAGACTGAATTTGTTCTCCATCATATATTGGTAACTGTTACGATACGATGAGTCAATGTAGACAATGATGTGACTTACAAGTAAGATTTTATAGATGAGGCAGTTACATCCTAAAAAATCTGCTATTTTAGGATTAAATCTATAATTAGAGCAATACTAATATCATAGTAGACCATAATTCTTCATGTTTTATCTTACGTGTATCAAGTGGAACAAACAAGCTACGTTCTCACTGAAATACACAAAGCTGTAATGTTTTTGATTAACCAACCTTCTATAATAAACCGTTAAAATTCAGTCTTTAAAGTGACTCTATCTCCTCAAAGTTATCAAAAGAACCTACAGTCTTCTATAGCAGTTAACGATGTTTAGCAATGTAGGGTACATAATCCTGTGAAAAACATTCAGCTAGTTTGCGTACTTTTTATTTTTTGAGAATAGTTCTAAGGACGAAAACTGAACTAGAGATGTCACTTTAAAATACCGATTATCAGAACATGGGCGAATTTAATTTTGAAACTACCCAATCTCTCGAATTCGGCATTATCTCAAAAAGTCCAATGACAATTAGCAGTTTTCGAAACCTTTCGGAGGTTTCGCACCCCGTTCCCAAAATCTCAGAACGGACAAAATTTTCTCCAAAATAGAGAGGTTGGTCAGGTTTGTCGCATGTTTAGCTATAGAAAATGATTTTCAGACAAAACATAATGTGCCTTAACAATTTCGTGGAGTATTTCGTAAAACTCTAGCATTTATTCTTTAATCTTATCTGTATGAATAAAAAGACAGTATGACTACTTATTACTCACGAGTATGCAACCCGTAGGTTGTTCCTAATGTAATTGTTCCAGTATCGTGAATAAAGTCAGAACCTTCAAATCCACTACTCTATACTCGCAAAGTTAACATTAAAATGTTTACAGACCAGAAATGTACCTTTTATTTACAAGAACATCATGGCCACCAGGGAAGCATTGAGGACGGAAACAACAAGCTCTAATACGATTTTGTGCTTCTTCACAAGGTCAATATAGTATATTACAACAAATGTTAAACATTTAAATTAGGAAAATCAATATCATCAACTGCTAGTTCCATAAGATTCATGTTTTAACTGAACAGAATATTTTTTATAAATGGAAAACACCATTTTTTGCACCGACGGTGTATGAATTTGATGGAGCAAGTATTCCCAAACAGCAGTTACTAGACAAGGGTACTACAAATACAGTAAACTTATTATTTTCATGACGATAGATATCCTTTTCAAAGTGAGATATGTGAAGATTCTGTCAATAAGATAAATACTTGTAGCTAATTTTCATAAAAATCTATAACGACACCTCTTCCAATATCACCCCCTGTAGTCCTGGAAAAAATGGCGCCAGTATATTAGCATATTCTCTGGATCACGAAAACCTGTACCTCGAAAAACATGATAACAGAGACTCTCACCGGACCCGAAATGAATGTCTTGGAACTATACAGGTCACTCAAGCATCTCATGGATACCGAAACTGTCTAACAGTTCTCGAGAACATCGTTACAAACCCTGTCACACAAACAATGGACGCTGAGAATACTCACAACATCTGTGAAGTACGTCCTGGTCACTTCAGAAAGCTCTTCAGCTTAACATATGGCTGACTATGAACAGTTTATTTTGACTTTATTGGTAACTGATGATAATCACACATTACTATCTTGATGACAGTTCACAACTTTACCAACACTTCTATAGTGGTCAATATCCCTCTTGTGAAACTGGGCGATATTTAGTAGAAACAGGTTTTAAACGTACGCAAAAGAGATTGAATGTATGTGCCAAGTAGTCTTTTTTAAGCATAAAGATAAAGTGCCTAGGAAGTCATATATAAACTAATGGATAATGTCTCATAAGCCAATAGTTTGAAGTAGAAAACAGGCACTCATAGCTAGAGCTGTGGGCTTAATCACAAGCTAATCATTCTGATGCATTAGTTTCTCAGATGGCCCTGATCATATAGGGTAAACATACCATGTACACAGAGGCACAATGGCTTGCGAGACCTTACTTGTTAGCAACATCAGTAATGGTTAATCTAAAATAAAAGACCTAAAGCTGTTGCACGAGAGTGGACCAAAAACTTTACTTCTTTGAATCTCGAGAGTTCTTTTTTCCCATGACGAGCATTTAAGATACATTGTATTATAGTACTAAGGGTAACCGTGATTTCTGGACAGTTGCAGTCGTAAATGACAACTTATTTACCCATATTATGTTTGTGAATAATAATAAGCTCTGACTTTTCTGAAACGTCCATTCTTGACGCCCAATAGGGTTGTTTCACGTGTAAACGTATCGTAGACTCTTTTAATACCTCCTCTTTCCATTGAATATATCTAAACATTCTAATAAGTTTAACATCGTGGCGAAGTAATCAAACTGGATTAAAGTTTATCCTGATCTACATTTTCATCATTCGAGTAGCCTAAGATTTACATCTAGCCATAGAGCAAACTGAAATTATTAATCAGCCCTTCTTGTAGTTCAATATTTTTACCACTAGAGCGCTGTCGGAAAAGGTTTTGTGAAAAAATACCGTGAAACTGAATACAATACACATAGAAATATTAGCACTTACATTGATCAGTGAGATAACCTAGTCGGGCAATCAATTTTAGAATCCTGACCCCCCCGCGTCCGCTGATAAATACATCTTCTTCCAGGTCATCCTAAAACTTCTGAGGTCTTAGTCTCATCAAAATTCAAGAACACTTCAGATTATAACAAGCAAGCGTGCGTTCTAGAACAAACGATGTTGAAGTTGGAGTTTTGGAGCTGTCATGTTCGTCTGTGCACACCAAAATTGAATTTAGTGAGGTTATTCATTCACTTTTGTTAGGTTGTTCATTACCTTGTTGTTACCATGTTGTTAATTTGACGATACATACATAGTCGTTTATTCCTGTTCTGCGTTCATAAACACACCTATTAAACTATCTGCGTATTTCACGTTTCCTTTATTTGTATTCCCTTATTTTTTCTTTGCCTTCTTAAAAATCATTATTCAATATTCTTCTCAATGACACAAAATCTGATTTATTATCATTCAATTATTATTATTATTCTCTTTTTCAAATATGACAAATATAATACTAACATTATTGAAACTTGTGTATTATTGCATTTTTGAAGAAACCCGAAATAGTTTCTTCACAACGCTTATGTACCCATAAGATGTTTGTGAATAATAACAATAATAATAAATAAATAATGTTCTATAGGGCCAGTGAAATGTCACTGTGCTCCAGTGTTACGGGAGAACTGAAGACATTTGGCAAATTAAAACCTTTTTATTGTACATTAATAATTTACTGTGTTTTTGGATGTAATTGTTTTACTTAACTTTGAACTTGTTTGTTTATATCATTATTTCGGACATTTTGGTTTGTCCTTGGTTTGGTATTTTGGTGCTCTCTCTATCTTTGGTTTGGTATTTGGGAGTTTTGCTCAGGGAACCTACAAAATTGAAGGTTTGTTTTGTAATTATTATAATTATTGTTGTTAGAACGACATTTGGTCGATTATTTGTGAATTACGAATAAATTTGGTATCCAAATTGGAGTTTGGTTCTGTTATTAATTTGGGTTCGTAATTTGCAAGTAGATCGATAGTCTGTACTTCAATAACTAGAACGAGAAAAACTTGGACGTAACATGCGATACATGCCTAGTAGACTACCTGAATGATATAACTATGAAACGAGACAGCGGACTCCTTGTATCAGTTCTATTCCTAGACTTTAAGAAAGCCTTTGATAAGGTCCCACACAAAAGGCTACTCGTCAAACTAAAGTCCTTCGGAATACACAACCCACTGTACTCATGGTTTGCTTCGTTCTTAACAGAACGTAAACAGATGGTAAAGTACAATGACTGTCTCTCGTCCCCTAGGCCAATCACCAGTGGAGTCATCCAGGGAAGCGTATTAGGTCCACTTTTGTTTCTTATGTATATAAACGATATATGTAACACCATAGAATTTGGGAGACCATACTTATATGCTGATGATCTCAAAATAGTATACAGCTATAAGCCTGAGACACTAAGCGAAAGTGTATCCCAGATCCAAAAGGACCTCAATAACTTAAGTATATGGAGTGAAAAATGGCAATTACCATTAAACCTCAACAAGTGCGGGATCATGCACTTTGGAAAGCATCCCTATAAACCGCAACTTCACTTAAATGAAAGTAGAGTCCAAACACTCGAATCAGTACGCGATTTAGGAATTAATTACACAGGAAGCCTGAACTTTGAAGAACATGCCTCCTCTATTATTTCTAAATCTAGACGGCTAATTGGCTTTATAATGAGAAACTTTTTCACAACAGAGGGTAAACTTACTCTCTACAAAATATGTGTAAGACCCTCCCTTGAATACTGCTCTTTTGTATTCTCTAATATGAATATCACAGATAAGACAAGAGTAGAAGATGTTCAAAGACGTTTCACACGTCAACTACTAGGATGCAACTCGAATCTTGATTACACAGACAGATGTAAGCATCTATCTTTAGAACCCTTATGGCACCGTAGGCTAAAAAGCAATTTAATATTTCTCTACAAAGCGATATATGGGCTCTCCTTTCTAACCTCCTGCCCGACTATTACCCACGACCCAGCCTATAGACTTAGAAACAACGCATATACACTACTTACCGTAAAACACCAAAAACAAATGCGTTGTAAGTTCTTTACAGTACGGTACAGTTTATTGTGGAACAGGCTGCCAATGCCTATCCGTAATTGTGATACGTTTATCAGATTCAAAAGGCTAATAACCCTATTTCTAGACTCCAAAGAGCTTCAACATTTCCTTGAACTCCCGCCCACCAATGAGGCACTTTATTACGGACCGCCTAGTATCTAGAAAGAACAAAATTATAACAAGTCCGACTGTTACTAATATGAATATAACCAAATCACAGAACATATGGCTTATCCTTTCCTATTATTAATTGTTTATTAATCATGACTTCATGCTCCTAACCCTAGCTTTCAGTTCCCAAATCTCTACAGGTTAAATGTACAATATTCTTCCTAAAAGTCATGCCTTTTTTTTTATTCCACTGCAAGTAGACAGATAGCTCAATCTTATGAATGCTGATCTACTAAGGCCGACCATTCAAAGTTCAAAATTTGGCCACAACGTCTTGTGAGTTTCTCAATGTTTTATTTGTCTTACCCTGAAATTTTTTTTTCTACGATTTTATACCCTCTCATATCTTTTGATTTGCTATTAGTCCTTACTTCTTTAAACCATTAGTTATTTTCATAGCAGTGTGATATACTATGTGGACATCTAACCCATAAAACAAGTTTTTTAACTATCTGATTTGCTTGTAACATGGACTTAGTAGAGACAGTGTATTCCAACTATGGGCTTTGATTAAAGCAGTATTCATACTTACCACAAACGTAAGAGAGCCTAACATCACAAAAGGAGGGAGGGTGGCGTTACTGACCAGCAAACATGAAGGTGGGGAGATAACTTCAATCCACCCATGTCTGTAGGGCAGAACATTTTGTTTAATTACGGCTCCTTATGGTTTAGTGGGATGCCACGAACTTATGGTATTGAAGCTGATCTATTCACGCAAAATACCTCTTTAAGTCGTGTTACGAACGTTGAATTGGTTTCACTTCCTACCTAGAAATCCTATTACAAGCAAACTAGACAATTCGCTAATATACGAAGCCTAATCAAGACCCTATAATAACTGGGGGGAAAATATTTAAAAAAAACAAAAACGAAAGAGGCTCTAATAGCTTCGATATTAAAGGGAAGACAGCCAAATGTATATCACAATACTGTTTCTAGCACTATATTTTATTTTATAATCACACATAATCTTATACTCTCAGCTCTTTTCCGAATCGCCCCCATTTGTCAGTTGTATGCCCACTCACACCTTGTCAACACTTATTTTCTTTAACCTATGAAAATGCTCTTTCTTAACATATACCTTAATAAAGGAAAATTAGACTGAGTAATCATAC